TTTTTTTTTTTTTTTTTTTTTTGCGGTACACGGGCCTCTCGCTGCTGTGGCCTCTCCCCACTGCGGAGCACAGGCTCTGGACGCGCAGGCTCAGCGGCCATTGCTCACGGGCCCAGCCGCTCCGCAGCATGTGGGATCCTCCCGGACCGGGGCACAAACCCACGTCCCCTGCATCGGCAGGCGGACTCTCAACCACTGCGCCACCAGGGAAGCCCCATGGGGCTTAATTTTTTTATATTGCTCTAGAGGGCCAGATAATATTAGAGAAGCAGATACTCTGCCCTCTCTCTTTAAGGACAAAATGGAACATCAAAACGGAGTACCAAAAAGAATATCCATAAGTTACAGATGAAGGAGGCCCCTAAATATACAGAAAGCACCATTTGACTTTGATATCCAAGTTGAGAATTTGATTGGGTACTTCACCATGATTCCATTCTAACAGAGCTTCTCATTCAAATATGTCTCAAGGTCCTTAAAGAATTTTTTAAAGTAAGTACAGGTAGGCTCACAGCACAATACTAGGTACAGAGTATCTTCTGTCCCATGATGTACACTTAACCGATTGAACACAAAACATTTCTAAATGCTCTCAGGAGCCTCAGTTACCAGGAAAATCTTCCAACTCTCAGCCCTAGAGTTCTGTAGTAAGGACAACACCCCAAGCCACCTCTCAGTTCCAGGCCAAGAAAACACCCAGAACATTGCTGTGTGGGCACTTCTTGGGAGATGGAGGGGTTACTCTTTGCCAAGAGAGAGTTCAGGGCTGGGACGGGATATGAAAGCATGAAAGACTGAGAAATAACAATGCTGAGAGGAGCAGCTGTTGCGTAAACCCAGCACCAACCTCAGCCCCTGCTCTGGGCAACCAGCCTGGGGCACGTCGGGCTCCAGGTCCCCGCCTGCAATTGGAGGCAGAGAGGGAGCCCCGTGCGGGGAGGGTTTCTGCTGTGTCAAGTGCCCTGGGGTACCGGGAAACACACACTGCACACGTTCACTCCACGCACGAGGGCGCGAGAAGCTTCAATGCGGACACAGTCCGGCTCTGCAACTGGAAGGGGCCAGAGAGGTCCCTGGGAAACCCACTCATTTTATAGACGAGGAAGCTGAGAGCCATCATGGTAAAGTAAGCGACTTGCCCAAAACCTGACAGGCAGTTAACAGCACAGCAGGAATGAGAACCCAGGTCTGGGGCCTCCAAAGCAACACCTGTCAAGTGAGCTGCTGGCTTTCAGAGCAGACACCACCGCAGAGGGGACCAGACACACCAAACGCCAGCAAGTGACCCAGAGCCTCCCGTGCATCACTCTGAGAACAGCCTCCTCCAAGGTGCTCTTATCAAACTGTGACAGTCCCTCCAGGCTGTAGAAGGTGACAGGAGGTGGTCGTACTGCATGGGAAGGAGAAACCACTTCCATCCACAGGGAGCCCACAGCTGAGGACAGTTTGCCGGGGAGCTCAGAGGTGACCACGTTGTCACAGAAGGTGCGGATCGGCCACAGATTTCGTTATTGTTTAACAGCTTTATTGAGGTTGCGCTTTTTTAATGTTTCATCATGATTTCTTTTGTTTTTATTGACTCTATTTTTTATTAACTAAAGTCCATCGTTTACATTAGGGTTCACTCTTAGGGTTGTGAAGTTCTATGAGTTTTAACAAATGCATGGTGTCATGTATCCACCATCACAGCGTCGTACAAAATTGACTCACTGCCCTAAAATTGTGCTCTATCCCTCTAGCCCTCCTCCTGAACCCGTGGCAACCACTAATCTTTTTACTGTCTCTACAGTTCTGCTTTGTCCAGAATATCATATAATTGTAATCATCCAGTATGTAGCCTTTTCAGATTGGCTTCGTTCACGTAGAAATATGCTTTTAAGGTCCCGTCATGTCTTTTTGTAGACAGATAGCTAACTTCCTTTTGTCGTTAAATAACATTCCATTTATTCATTATTTAAAGGCACCATGGTTGCTTACAAGTTTTGGCAATTATGAATAAAGCTACTATAAACATTCACTTGCAGGTTTTTGTGTGGACATAGACTTCAACTCAATTGGGTAAATACCAAGAAGGGGAACTGGTGGATTGTATGGTGAGAATGCGTTTGTAAGAAATAGCTAAATAAATATATTTTATTTACAAATAGCTTTGTAAGAATAAATATTATTGGGTTGGCCAAAAAGTTTGTTTGGGTTTTTCTATAAGATCTTATTTTTAGCTTTATAAGGAACTACTAAACTGTCTTCCAAAGTGGCTGTACTATTTTGCATTCCCGCCAACAATGAATGAGAGTTCCTACTACTCAGCATCCTTGCCAACATTTGGTGTTATCAGTTTTTTGAGTTTTAGTCATTCTAATATGTATAGTGGTGTCTCATTGTTGTTTTAATTTGCAATTCCCTAATGGCATATGATATTGATCTTTTCTTACGCTTATTTGCCATCTGTATACCTTCTTTGGTGAAACGTCTGGTCAGATCTTTTGCCCTTTTTTCGATTCAGTTGTTTGTTTTCTTACTGTTGACTTTTGAGTTCTTTGTATATTTTGGATACATGGCCTTTATCAGATATCTATTTTGTAAATATTTTCTCACAGTCTGTGACTTTTCATTCTCTTAACAGTGTCTTTCACAGAACAAAAGTTGTTAGTTTTAATAAAGTCCAACCTATCAATTTTTTCTTTCAAGGACTGTGCTTTTGGTGTGGTCTCTAAAACGCCACTGCTAAATCCAAGGTCACCTAGGTTTTCTCCTATGTTATCTTCCAGAAGTTTTATAGTTTGGCATTTTACAGTTAGGTCTACAATCCATTTTGAGTTGATATTTGTGAAAGGTATAAGGTTTGTCTGTCTGTCTGTCTGTCTGTCTCTCTCTCTCTCTCTCTCTCTCTCTCTCTCTCTCTCTATATATATATATATATATATATATATATATACATGTGGCATGTGGATGTTCGTTTGTTCCAGCACTATTTGTTGAAGAGACTACCTTTCCCCATTGAATTGCCTTTGCTCCTTTGTCAAAAATCAGTTGAGTATAGTTGAGTAGGTCTATTTCTGGGCTCTTATTCTGTTCCACTGATTTTTTTGGTCTATTCTTTCACCAATATTATGTGTCTGGATTACCAGTATACAGTATATCATTTTATAAAAATAGCTCTACTGAGAGATAATTTACATGCCATAAAATTCACTCATTTTAAGTAAAATTCAACATTTTTTAATAAACTCATAGAGTTGTACAACCATCAACACAATCCAGTTTAAGAACATTTCCATCATCCCCAAATGATCAAATGATTGATTGCCCAAGTCAATCTCTATTCTCAACCCCAGCCTCAGGCAACTGTTAATCTGCTTTCTGTCTCTGTAGATTTACCTTTTCTGGACACTTCATAAAAATAGAATCATATAATATCTGGTCTTTTGTGTCTAACTTCTTTCACTTAGCATAATGTTTTCAATGTTCCTCCAAGTTACAGCAATACTCCATTTCTTTTTACTGCTGTATGGATATACTGCATTTTATCTGTCCATTTGCCAGTAATGGGCATTTGGGTTGCTTCCTTTTTGGCTATTATGAATAATGCTGCTATGAACATTCATGCATAATTTTCTTGTGTGAACATATATTTTTAATTCTCTTGGGTAAATACCTAGAAGTGGAATTGTTGGGTCAGATAACAAATTTACTTTTAACTGTTTAAAAAACACTTGTTTTCCAAAGTGGCTATACCATTTGACATTCCCACCAGCAATTTATGAGGATTCCAGTTTCTCCACATTCCTGTCAATACTTGTTATTGTCTGACTGTTTTGTTATAGCCATCTAAGTAGGTGTGAAGTGGTTATCTCATTGTGGTTTTGATTTGCATTTCCATAATGACTAATGATACTGACTTTTCATGTGCTTATTTGTTATCCATACATCTTCCTTGGTGAAATGTCTATTAAAATCAGTATTGAGTTTTCTGACCTATGCACAGAGTATGTCTCTTCATTTATGTAGGTCTTCTTTACATCTCTCAGCAATGGTTTGTAGCTTTCAGTGTGCATGCCTTGAAAACCTTGTGTTAGATTTAAGTATTTCATATTTATTATGCTGTTGTAAGTGGTATTGTTTTAATTTTCATTTCCTTTTGTTCATTGCTAACATATAGAAATACAATAGATTTTTGAAGTGATCTTATATTCTGTACCCTTGCTAAATCCACTTATTAGTTCTACAAAATCATGTTGTTTGCAAATAAAGACAGTTTTACTTCCTCCTTTCCAATCTGGATGCCTTTATTTCTATTTATTGCCTTATTGCCTTAGTGCACTGTCAAGAACCTCCAGTGCAACACTGAATAGAAATGGTGAGAGCAGACATCCTTATCTTATTACTGACCTAAGGGAGAAAGCACTTAGTCTTTCACATGAAGTTTGATGTTAACTATCAGTTTTTCATAGATGCCCTTTATTAGGTTGAGGAAGATCCCTTCTACACCAATTTTGCTAAGAGTTTATATCAAAAATGGATGTTGGATTTCCTCAAATCCTTTTTCTGTGTCTATGGCTTGTT